TCATCAATGAAATAGTTGTTCTTCACTAGTATGTGCTCTACTTCGTGCGACCTTGTACTTAGAATTTTTTCGAGTTCTTGAACTTTGTTCGTACCCTCCCCATGATGACGACGTTCTGAGTGTCATGGCCGATGGGACGTTTTTCCTCGTCTAGGTTTGACATTATTTTGGGGGTTTTGAATTTTCCCCAAATCCATAGTTGTGCTTTGGGTTTTTGTATGAATCCAGGAGTTGGCCGAGGGCCTGTCCTGTTCTTCGTCCAGATCGCATTTTTGTACTTAGGAAATTTCCATGTGTGAATATGGGTTGGCATATCGCCTGCTTCGTCTGAGGAAGTGTGAGGATCTGGTTTGTCCAATACTAGAGCCTTGTATTATGGCTTAAATCTTTGTAAAAATTTCTAAGACCATGATTGTGCCTTTATGGTCTTGCTTCGTCCATAAGGTGTGGAATTTGCCTGATATGTACTTAGCCAAATTTGTAGCTTCATTTGTGGGGATTTTACTTTTTATTGCTCGAGGCCAGAGAGTGTGTGGTCTTGCTTCGTACATACTTTTTAATGCCTGATATGTACTTTTTGTGTGGCTTCCCTCTATTTTTTTACTTCCTCTTTACTTCTTTGAGCGAGGAGTGTGACCTGTTTGCAGGTGGGGCTGAGGGAGTTGCTATTCCTTTGGCCGGTGGGGATTCCCCGATTTTGTTCATTCCTCCGCTCTTTCGCGTGAGCTGAGCCGAGGGGGTTGCTAGTCCCTCAGCTAAGTGAGATGTGCCCGTACCTTGGGGGTTTTCCTCGTCTATTTATGACACGGGACTAGACTTTTGGTCAGTTTCTGACGGCTGCCGTGTTTGGTCCCTCGGAAGTGGCCCCAAGTGTGGAGATTTTGTTACCTTGGCAATCTTTCAGGCTTATCGTCCTGCGTATTTCACGAAGACGACGCGGTAAGATTCTCCTTTCAAGACGTCAGCCATTTTTAGGCCTTGCGTCCTAGACATCGTCGGCCATACCTGGGTAATTCACCTCGAAGGGGCCTGGATGATGCTTAGTTTGTGTGTGTTTTCCTTTACTTAAATTTCACAAAATAAGTGGATCACGATTTTTTATATAGATAAATGGCTCAAGGCCAAGGGTGGTAATCTACCAATAATCCGCAAAGGAGTTAGCTTCTTAGTGAGCTTTTGACCTTGGGGTGGGGGCTTTGTGCGGCTACACTACCTTCGGATTATTGATAAAACTTCACCAGATTATGTACATTTCACGATTTTGGTACTTCTAACCCATTCGGGTTCCTGAGTTTGTATGTGCCGACTTTGATTACAAAACTGATGATGTAGGGCCCTTCATACTCCAGGGCTAGTTTTCCGCCTTCCGTTGGCTTGCTGGTCTCCCGTCGGTGGAGGACATAGTCCCTCACTTGAAATTCTCGGGATCAGACTTTGGCTTCGTAGTAAGATTTGACTTGACGTTGATAGTTCTCAGTCCTGAGGTAGGCTTGCTCGCCTCTTTCGTCGATGAGGTGTAAGTCAATCTTCATACTTTCATCATTTGCTTCGGGGTCATACTGTTCGACCCGTCAGCTAGGCAAGGTGAGTTTCGTAGGCCCTTGCTTCGAAGCTGTAGCAGAGGGCAAATGGTGTTTCACCGATTGCTCTCCTTGGCGTAGTGCGGTAGGACCATAGAATGTTGTGAAGCTCGTCCACCCAGCTGCCTCCTTCGTTCTCGGGCTTCTTCTTCAAGCCTTCCAAGATGGTTCTGTTGGCGTTCTCGACTTGCTCGTTTCCTTGAGCGTAGGCCACGGAGGAGAAACTATGCTTGATGCCCCATGCTTGAAGAAGTTCTTGGAATGATGCGGCCTTGAATTGAGTGCCATTGTCTGATATGATCTGCTGAGGGATGCCAAAATGGGTGAGGATGTTTTTGAGGACAAACTTCCGGCACCGCGCCTCGGTGTTGCTAGTCAGTGGCTCCTCTTCAATCCATTTGGTGAAGTAGTCTATGGTGACGAGGATGTACCGGTTGTTGCCTGCGCCTCTTGGAAGAGCGCCGACTAGGTCAATCCTCCATATGGAAAATGGGATGGTCATGCTAACCGGGGTATAGTTAACTGCTGGTCGACCAGGGGCTCTTTGAAAGTGTTGGCACACGGTGCATTTCCTAGCCACCTCGGCACAATCCCGCTCCATCGTCGGCTAGAAATGCCCCGGACGATGAGTCGCCTAGACATGCTAAAGGGGCCTTGCTGTGATGAGCAGATGCCACACTGCACTTCCTCCATCACTACTTTGGCCTCATCCGGGTGTAGCCATCGGAGGAGAGTGTCGCTATAGGACCTCTTATACAACTTTCCATCCTCTATGGTGTAGCTTGGGGCCCTAAGTTTGGCTAATATGGCCCTCTCCTCGTCCTAAGGTAGTTCCCTGGATGTGATGAATATTATGATGTCAGTTATCCAGTCCTTTGGCCGTTGTTGGATGCATAAGATGGGACTGACGTGGATGTTTGGCATGCTCAACTCCTCGATCTTGGCTATTTTGGATATGTGCTCAGGAGTGTCTGAGTTGAGCTTTGAGAGTATGTCGGCTTCAGCATTCTCCACCCTTAGTATCTAGGTGATCTCATGGGTTTCTAATGCCTAGAGCAATTCCGCTGGTGCTTTCATGTATTGTTTCATCCTTCATTCTTTGGCTTCATATGAGCCCTCAATCTGACCCACCACGAGCTTGGAGTCGCATATGATCTTGATGCGTTGTGCATTGAGGCTGACGCCGAGTCTGAGGCCACTGAGGAGGGATTTATACTCAGCTTCGTTGTTGGACACCCTGAAGTTGAAACGGATCATGTAGTACGCTATGAATCCTTCAGGGGAGATGAGGACAACGCCCCCTCCACACGCCTTGGCGACAGATGAACCGTCCGTGAATAGGGTCCATGCTTCGTCTACTTCTGAGCCAAAGGTGGTGACGGCTGATTCCCTGGCCGTGCATTCAGTCACAAAGTCGGCCAAAGATCGTCCTTTGATGGATGGCCTTGGCTTGATCTCAATTTGGTATTGGCTCAAGAAGATCGCCCACTTCACCATCCTTAAGGAGCTGGTGGGTCTTCGCATGAGGGCACCAAGGGGCTGCTGCGTGAGGACGTGGACGGGGTGTGCCTGAAAGTAGTGCCCAAGCTTCTTCACTGTATGGACGATGGCTAGTACTATCTTTTCAATGGGGGAGTATCTAAGCTCTACCTCCCGCAATGTCTTGCTGACGTAGAATATGACCTTTTGTACTTCGTCATCCTCACGGATGAGCACATAGCTAATGGTCGATGCGCTCACCCCTAGGTAGAGGAAGAGTGTCTCATTGAGCTTAGGTTTTGAGAGGACGGGAGGGGAGGGGAGGTATTGCTTCAGCTCCTCTAAGGCACGCTGGCACTCCGCCGTCCACTTGAAACCGGTGGTCTTGCGCATGATTTGAAAAAAGAAGCGATTTCTCAGTTGATCTTGAGGGGAAACGATTCAGGGCCGCTAGGCATCCCTCCAGCCCTTGCACCTCCTTGATGTTCCGTGGCAGCTCCATGTTGATGATGGCATGTATCTTCTCTGGGTTCACTTCGATGCCCCTTCGGTTGACCATGTAGCCCAAGAACTAGCCACCCTGGACGCTGAAGGTGCACCTTTTTGGGTTGAGGCGGAGGTTGAACTTCTTCATTATTTTGAATATCTCCCGGATGTCATCAGCATGGGTAGATGACCGTCTGCTCTTGATGATCATGTCATCGACGTATGCTTCCATCGTCTGGTCAAGGACAGTCCTGAATATCTTGGCTACCATCCTGGTGGTAGTGGAGACGAAGTTTTTGATTCCAAAAGCCATGACGAGGTAGCAAAAGATTCCCTCCGGGGTCATGAAAGTTGTTTTCTCTGTGTCATCTTCGTGCATGAATATTTGGTGGTACCCTCGGAACGCGTCGAGGAATGACATCAACTCGCACTCTGCCGTCTCATCCACTAATTGATTGATGTGGGGGAGAGGGAATGGGTCCATTAGGCACACCTTGTTTAGTTCGATGTAATCGACACACATCCAGAACGTCGGCGGCTTCTAGACGAGGACAACGTTCGCCAACCACGTGGGGTACTTCACCTCTTTGATGTGGTTGATGGAGAGGAGCATGGTAACCTCCCTTTACGAAGTCGCGCCTTTCGGTGGATAAATAGCGTCTCTTCTGTTTGACAAGGGTGGAGGCCGGATCCACTGAGAGCCGATGGGTGATCACCTTCCGGATGATGCCTGACATATCCTCTACCCCAGCGCGAAGATGATGGCATATGACCGTAGGATGAGGAGGATGTCATTTTGTTGGTCCCGGGGAATTGTTTTCTGATCTTTAGGACTTGCTCTGGCCGAGAGACTTATAAGGGAACTTCCTCAACATCTTCTACCGGCTCAGTGTGTAACATTCTCAAATTTATGCTTTTTAAAATTCTAAAAGTAAGCATAAAAAGTTATGTCTTCTTATTCCTGTAGATGACTGAAATATTAATAACGTAGTAGTATTAAAAAAACAGTTAAAATTGCTTATAGTAAAAGAAAAACATAATTATTAAGAACAAAGCAAAAGGCCCACTCGATTTTCAACTGGGTTTATTTTATTTGGGATCTACCTTTTGAACCTTTGTAACTTTATTTTTACTCTCTTTTTGGTTTAACCACCTTAGCTTCTCTCCATTGTAATACTTTATGAACATTTCATTTCAATAAAAAGGTCAATCGGTTTGCTTAAAAAAAAACAAAATAACATAGACATAAGTTGAATAACACGTGTACATCCATGCATGCTAGAAGGGACACTAAGCTATAGATTGCCTAATCAAACAAAAAAATAATAATAATAGGGACACTTTTGAGTAGCATTGGATACTTCATACTCGTACTACTAGTATTAGAAAAGAACAAACGGAAACTGTAATATATATACACAGTACATCTAATTAGTATGAGAAGAGACAAATACTGCTTATGGGGTCTTCTGGGAAGGCACAAATTGGAAAATAGAGAAGGATAGGTAGAGAAGATCAGGGAGTGAATCTTGAGGGGAAAAAAGAGAGGAGAGGAGGAAATGGAAGGAAATGGGGGAATAATCGGGTTACAAGTTTAAGGTTTGTGTTCATTCCTTCTTCTAATTATATTTTATATTATATTGTTATTATTGTAATTTTATTGCTATATTTCATTTTAGAGGTAATTTTTAGCTAAACTGTTATGTCTAAATTTTTATGTTGAAGAATATCATACTGGTTTTTACAAAGATATGCACGATATATATACATGCTATAATTTAAAGGAATGCATGGTAAAATGTTATAATCAATGTATAATGGTACGGTGTTGAACTATAATGGACATTAAAATATTTAATTAATTTAGAAAGAAGTGATATTTTACTTGATAAATTTTCTACAACTACGAGTGACAGGTTTGATTAAGAAGAGAACTTCATCAGTTTATAAAAAGACTGAATTGAGGTGAGATCGAGATATAAATAAGTAAATTTAACAAAAATATATATAATACTGCATATGACAATCTATTTTAGAAATTATATACATGTATGAACAAGGATACAGATGATATTTTAAGTTGATTATAATGATAACAATTTTGAATCGGAAAATAATACTAGTAGCTATAATACTATTAATGATAAAGATTTAATTTAAAATAAGAAAAATGGAATTCGAAACTTTATTATTGGATTTGGATAGGTTGGCATGCCAATAGGGATAATTAACACGGCCGTAGAATTTGATCAATGATTTCGGATCCGTAGCCACCGAGTGGACAGCACCCAAATCTTGATATTTGATACACGCGCGCTTCTATACGGGTCCGTAGCCACCGAGTGGACAGTGCCCAAATATGTTCGTTTACGGGTCCGTAGCCACCGAGTGGACAGTACCCCAACGAACCCAACCCCGGCCAGAGCCACCGAGTGGTCCGTGCCAAAATAGTTCTCTGATGGTCCGTAGCCATCGAGTGGACAGTACCAAAGATGAGAACGTCCTGTTTATCCTGTCCATTAAACCAAGGAGTAGAATTCCAGAAATTTGATAAAAGAATAAAAGTGTGGAAACGGGCAAATATGACGGAGAATAAAAATGAGCAAAAGATGAAAATTGAGTAAATGAAAAGTTAAGTGAGACAAGAAGAATGCCGAATGGTATATTGAATTACAGCGAGCTACGATATTACTCATGTGAGCTTTGATTATGATGTGAAGATGTTAAAATGAAGGCAAAGAAAGAATGGAAAGGGAAAATGTGGAATATAGAATTATTGGAATGAAGTAAGAGATATGAATATAAGAATGAAAGACGATAAGAGAATGTGACTTTATATTCAATTAATGGATTAGATTGTCCTAATCAAAAGATTATTTTAGAATAAGTTAGTCTCAAATACGAGAGACAACGAGATAAACTTATGTTGAATAAAGTTATTATTTTACGCTTTTAAACTAATACGTACTTTGAAAATTAAGCTCAAATAAAGAGCAAAGTTTTAATCATGATATTATGCATTTTAAAATAAATTAAAGTAACTATGTCGAACAGAATGGACTATATATTGAATTATTACATCGAATGGAATAGTATTATATGTTTTGAAATAATTAATATGATCAATCTTTACTATTCTTGATATAACTTTAAAGAAAATTCACTTTAAATATTTGATGATAAGATATAGAGAGAATAGCTGTGATTTATAAGTTATAAAGAATTTTCAAATTTCCGGGTTGACCTAGCCCTTTTTGTATTACTGAATTGCTATTTGGAGCAAAATGGATTCTTTTGAGATTTATTAGTCAAACGGGTAAAATCAAATCTGGTTAAGTTTATATTTTTAAATTTAGTATATTTGTGATGTCATTTTTAATTGTTGATTTACGATGTGATATTTGATACTGAAATTGTTTCGAGAAAGAATGAACACCACTAAGCAAGATTTGCTTAGCGCGTTGGATTTTTGTCCTTCGCGTAGGTACAACCTGCCAAGAGTTGCTACGAGACAAAGTTCAAGGAGGAAAACATTTAGGAGCAACCTGCCAATCAGCACAGAGTCACACTTGCATTTAGTAATATCTCATTTTGGTTTGCATAATTAATATGTAATCAACATGCTAGTATAATGTAACAGCAATACTAAACATTTACTTATTATGTATAAAATATAAATGCTTCCGCAAATATGAGATTTCTTAAATTATTATCATTATCTCGTTTTTTTGAAAAAAAAAATATTTTTGGAATAATGAAAACGAATGGAAAAGTCAGTCAACGCTTGGGTGCTCCGGCACTGCGGGTAGCTCTCCCTGCCCTAGCCTTCCGGGCCGGGTAGGGGGTGTTACACAGTGCATGGACTCTCCTCGTCCGTGGTGACGGCCACTGTGATGGTGTCGATCCGTTGTTTAGAGGTTGTGGCCTTCTTTGTCATCTTTAGGTAGCATGCTCTTGTTATCTTCTGATTTTCGCTGGCGTAGCCGATGCCGTCCTTGGTTGGAAACTTTAAGCATAGGTGCTTCATGGAGATGATGTCCTCAAGGTCCTACAATGTTGGTCCACCCCAGATCAGGTTATGGGCACATTCAAGGTTGACGACCACAAACTCCATGTTGATCTTTGCGCGATGGGAGTTGTCTCCGACCTCAACGGGGAGGACTATCGTGTCTTCAGCGTCGATAGAGTTCCCGGTGAATCCGGACAACGGCGTCCGAATCGGCTTGAGCGATGCCTTGTTCAGCTTTAGCTACCTGAATGTATCAAGGTACATGATGTTGACGGAGCTGCTCGTGTCAATGTAGGTGCGGTGGATGATGGCGTCGCCGATCTCACACCGGATGAAGAGGGTGTCCCTGTGAGAGGGAGGGCCTGGGGGCAGATCCCTGTCACCGAAGGTGATTGTTTCTGCCCGTTGTTTCTTCGGTTGTGGGGGGGAAGTGGGATACTTCGTTGATGTATGTATAGGGATTGAGCCCATTTCTTCCTCTGAGTGGTGGAGTCCCCCATGTGTTGCCCCCAGCGATGAGGTGAATATGGTGCTTCTTCGGCTAGGCTTCATCATATTCCTCCTCATCGCTGAGGTTACCAATCTCCCGCTTCTTCGACGAGGTTTCCCCTCCCCAATTGCCGGTTTTCACACAGGTATTTTTTGTGGGGCACCTTTAACATACTGGGAGAGTTCACCTTGTCCAATAAGGCGTTCAATTGCCCTTTTAAGGGTGATGCAGTCGTCTGTGTTGTGGGAGGTGTTCTTGTGGTAGCGGCAGTATGATTCGCCCTGGTGGATGACGTAAATTTCCTTCGCCGAGCAAGGATCCTTGGCTATAAGTTCGTGCTCCTCCGCATAGTCCAGGATGATGTTCATCGGATGAGTGAGGGGAGTCTGTGGTATATCCAGCCTGAGGCGCCATTGGCATCTCTCCCGGCATTGTCCCTCTGTCCCGGGGTGTGCCTACCTTCGGGGGTCTTGTTCTCTTACCGGTAGTGCGTTGGGAGCTGGTGCGTTGTTCTTCTTCTTGAGTGGTTGCCCACCTTCCCTCCTGTGGGAGTGCAACTCGTCGGCGTCAGCGTACAAGCCTCCTCGATGGAGTGCCTTCGCATTTGACCTTGAGGGTTCAGTGATGAGGCTTCTCGCATAGGGGCTGTTACGAAGGACGCCTTGAAGGAGGACGAGGAGAGTGCGGTCATTGGCACCTTCTACCTTGTCAATCTCTTTCTTCCACCGCTCCAGGAAGCTGCGGAGCGGTTCGTCATGTTGTTGTTTGACAGTGAGAAGGTGGGAGAAGTGCTTCTTCGCGTGCTTCCTCCTGGTAAAGTGGGTGAGGAAATGTTGTGCAAGGTCCTGCCTCGAGTCCACACCGCCTTCAGGTAGTGCATTGAACCACTCATACGACGGTCCTTCGAGAGTGGAGAGGAACCAACGACAGATGTATTCGTTCAATGTGTTTACCATCATCATGATGTTCTGGTAACGGCTGAAGTGTTCATGAGGGTCTGTTCGGCCGTCATAGGGTTTGATGGCGTTGCCTCGGTATTTCTCTAGGATCGGGGCAGAGAGCACCATTGTTGTGAAAGGAGTTTTTGTCCAGGTCTTGATGATGGAGTCACCGCATCCTTCAGTCAGCTCCCCCTCTAAGGTGCTGACCTTGTTCAGAAGGGCGTTGTAGCCGGGATCCCTGAAGGTGTTGGTCGTGGCTCCACCAGCGAGCTGCCTTGCTTCCATTTGGGCCAATCGCCTCTCCAGCTGGGTGATGACTTCATCGGGGGGATCCCTTGTGGCCGTAGTGGCTCCTTGCTGAGTCTGGGCGCGGCCGCATGGCCTTGTTGATTTGGTGACGCACGTCCTCCTCGTGCAGCTTGCCCTTTCCTTTGTCCATGCGGGGCCAGTCCGCTGTCTGGGACACTGAACCGATGGTGCCATCTTCCTGCCATAGGCCGATGGTGCGTGTCGCCTAGCCTATTGAGGCTGAGGCCTTACCACGTCCAGGGGTCAGCACAGCTCGTGGAGGAGAGGCGGTGTGGGATGCAGTGTCTTGGGCTACAACGCCTTCGTCATTGCTGATGAAGGTGACAACAGGAGGTGGTGGAGGTGGTGGTGGTGGTGTTGTGTTCTATCCCGTCCTTGGCATGAGAGCGCTTAGGACAGTAGGGTTCTGGGCCATGCTGACAATGATGGCCGATACTGCGGCCTGGAGCTGAGGGTCAACAGAGGGAGTAGTCTGTTGTCCTGAAGCATGGTTGCTCTTCTCCGAGCGTTTCTTCTCAAGGCCGACACGGGCATCTTGAGCGCTGATGTTGAGCTTGTTGTGAAGGTCAGCCGCGGGGTCCATGGTCTCTTGGAAGACCTCCTCCTCCACTATCTTGTCGGTCGTAGTGTCGCCCAACCTCTCTTGGTTCTCCTGGGGGTCGGGGAGATTTTTGCCGATGAGGTTGCGGTTTGACCTTGTCTTTCCCATTTCAGTTAGTAGTGTCTGGTAGCGACGAAGGATACTAACTTGATTTTCTAGCTCTCAGTGAGAGCACCAAATGATATAGTATTAACCTTAGAGAGAAGTGAGAGCTATAGAGAGAAAGTGAACAATTAATATTTCTCAACCCCCTACAACTACCCCCAATGGAAGTGTTTATAGGGAAAATATAATAATGTAATTATATAAGGATTACTATGTAATTTCCTGCAGAGGCTATTTAACTGAAGAGGTATATATGCGTCAACCACAGGGTTTTATTCATCCATCTTTTTCCTAATCATGTGTGTCATTTACACAAGGCTCATTATGGCCTCAAACAAGCTCCGCGAGCTTGGTTTCATCGTTTCAGTGATTTTTTATTGAGTCGGGGTTTCACACAGAGTAAGTCTGATTCTTCTATGTTTGTTTATCGTTCTGAGTCACAGGTCGTTTATATTCTTCTGTATGTGGATGATATTTTCATTACTGGTTCTTCTTCTTCGTTTGTTATGTCTATGATTCATACCTTATCTCTTCACTTTGCCATGAAAGATTTGGGTGATGTACATTATTTCTTGGGCATTCAAGCCAAGCGCACACCCCACGGTTTAATTTTCTCACAGGCTAAATATATTTCTGATCTTTTGCATAGATTCCATCTTCACACAGTTAAGCCTGTTCGCACTCCTCTTCCCTCACGTACCACCCTTTCTCTCACAGATGGGGAACTTTTATCAGATGTTACTGAGTATCACAGTATGGTAGGTGCTCTTCAGTATTTAATTATAACTAGACCTGATATTACATATGTTGTTCATCTCGTTTCCCAGTTTATGCATGCTCCTCGTACTACTCATTTATTGGTTTTCAAGAGAATTTACAGGTACTTGCAAGGGACATCAGCTCACAGGCTTTGGCTCAAATCTGACAGATATATTTCTGTTATTATGGCTTATTCTGATGCATATTGGGCAGGATGTCCCGACAGTTCTCGATCCACTACTGGTTATGCTGTTTTTCTTGGATCCAATCTCATCTTTTGGCGGTCTAAAAAGCAGCCAACTGTGTCCAAATCTTCCACTGAAGCAGAATACAGGGCCATTCCATATACTGTTCAGGACACACTTTTTATCAGGTCACTACTAGCTGACATGGGAATTTATATTTTGGCTTCAATGCAACTTCATTGTGATGACGTCTCCGCCTCATACTTAGCTGTTAATCCTATTCAGCATGATCAGAGTAAAAACATCAAAATCAATTATCATTTTGTTCGAGAGAGGGTGGCTCATGGAGATCTTGTCGTGAAGTATATTCCTACTCAGTTGCAATTAGCTGACATTTTTACCAAAAATTTATCTAGTCAGCGTTTTGAATTTTTACGTTTCAATCTGTGCGTTGTATCCCCTGCACAGATTGATGGGGTGTAATAATGTAATTATATAAGGATTACTATGTAATATCCTAAACTGGTTTTAGTATAAATATAACGTCAAGGCACCCAATAGGGTAAGCCATTATTTTCCAAAATTATTGTTTTGTATAAAATATGGGTTTGGGCTCCCAAGTCTGGGGCTTGGGAGGCCCGATACAAAATAAGGCCTCTAATGGACTGAGTACATGATTTATTTGACTACGTATAAGATCTAGTCCTGCTTGAGTCTGGTTGGCCGACGGAGGACCAAAATCTCTCCCGGGCTTCTGGACCATATTCTGGGTTGATAGATATTTGGCTGACAGAGGGCCATCTGGCCGATGGAGGACCACGTGGGTGCCAGTTGTCTTTGTATTTAGTCTTCCGAGTATGTGGGTCATGCGGTCTGGGCTCATATACTCTACCAATAACGTATAGCTAAGGAGATCAAAATTGAAATACTTACTCCACTTCTTCTTCTACATATAATTTCCACGAGTATGTAATATTCTGTCTCGGACGAGAGCTTTTGAAATCCATACTTACCTTGACAAGAGCTTGTGTGTTAAATCTATTTTTCTGCAGGTCATTCTATTCTTCATTGTCCGTCTCATTTTCTCAGCCATTTTTCCTTGCTCTTCTGGCTCCTACCGAGGAATCTAACAAGGCTTTGTGATATCCAGAATCCGGTGCGTCTGCTCATATGACTTCATCTGAAGGTATTTTGGCTAATAAATCTTTTTATGTTGGTCTCATATATGTTAGTGTTGCTAATGGTACTCAACTTTCCAATAAACATGTTGACAATATTCACTTAAATACTTCCATTCGCCCACTCTTATTAAAATTTGTTTACCATGTACCTCAAATAAGTATAACTTAATTTCTATTCAAAAGTTATGTATTAATAACAACTGTACTGTTATTTTTGATAAAAAAAAATCTTTTCTTGTTAAGGACAAACTTTCGAGGGCGGTTCTTCTACGAATAACCCATAATGAACATCTCTATCCCCTCACCTTCAATCCACTTTCTACTTTAGTCTTAGCTTCAGTCACCACATCTAGCTTTGTTTGGCATCGTATATTATGACATTGTGGTGACAATGTTTTACGCATGCTACATTCTCAGAGACATATATGTTGTAGTTTTACTTTTTCTCATGATTGTATTTCTTGCCGATTGGACAAATCTCAAATATTACATTTTTCAGATGTTAGTCACACAGTATGTATGCCTTTACAATTAATTCATTCTGATATTTGGTAGTCACTTGTTATTTTTTAATATAGGTTTTAAATATTATCTCTATTTCGTTGATGATTTCTCTCGTTTTACATGATTGTATCTCATGCACACCAAAAAAGAAATGTTTTGGCACTTTAATTTTTTTAAAGTTGTTGAAAATCTTTTTCCAAAAAAAAAGTTGTTGAAAATCTCTCTAATTCTAAAATTAATTTTTTTTAGTGATGGAGGAGGTGATTTTGTTAACTCTAGTATGCAACAATTTTTCCCTGAGCATGATATTCATTTTCGCAAATCTTGTCATCATACTCCTCAACAAAATGGGTTTGCTAAACGTAAACATCATCACCTCCTAGAGCTGGCTAGGACAATGCTTATTATAGTCTTCATTCCTAATCATTTCTGGGTTGATGCTATTTTTACGGTCACATATATTTTTAATAGATTGTCTTCTCATCTTCTTTATTGTCTTTCTCCTTATGAAAAACTTTTTAAAAAATCTCCTAATTGTTCCTTTTTACTTGTGTTTGATTGTGCTTGTTATCTCAATTTTTTAACTTCTTCGAATAAGCTTTCTCCTAGGTCCATTTAGTGTGTGTTTCTTGTCTATGCATATGGTTATAAGGGTTATCATTGTTTGGATCCTAAATACGGGTGTTTATCGGTCACCATTTTCGTTTTCATGAAAATATTTTTCCGTTTGCCACCTTGTGCTTGTCTCGGGATTCATTCCCTCCACCACTCCCATCCCTAGTTTTTCCCTAACCAATACCTCTCGGCCAAATACTTTTCCCCACTCATCTCCGTACCCTGCCTTGCCAGCTGCTCCACGGCTCCACCGCCTGCCGTTTCTTACCCGTTACAGACAACCAAGTGAACCAACCCCACGGCTAACTCACTCAATCTGTTACAGCAGCAAGCTGTCACATAATACATGTGTGACCAATGAAATAAGGCATGACACAATGTTCTGTTTTTTTGAAGCAGTATCTATGTCTTGCTTTCTTGTGTGCATTTTTTGAATAAAATACAGTGTACTAAATATAAATACTTTTTTTTCGAAAAAGATATTTGTGGACTACGTATTGAATCACTTCTCAAACTTCAGTTCAAGGAGATGGTGGATGAGGCATGGACTGGATACGGGCAGCCTGACCCAAGACCGGTAGTATTTGGGACCGGTCTCCCAATAACGGTACCGGTCCGAGACTGGTTTCCCGGTAACGGTACCGGCCTGGTAACCGGACATCCTTATTTACGGGACGGGCTCGGGCTTCACATTTTGGGACCGAACCGGCCGGTCCCAATGGCTATTTAAAAAAAAAAAAGAGTGGGGTTGGGGTGGCATGTTGGCAACGGCGTTGGGGTTGGGGTGGCATGTAGCCGGTAGCTTTTGGCAACGGCTATATGACCGTTGGGGTTGGGGTTTAGGGGGTTTGGGGTCGGGGTGGGTGTGGGGATGGAAAAAACTATAAATACACCTATTTCTAAATATTTTCCTACACATATTCTCCAATTTTTCCTACTCTCTAATACTCTCTAGCCATCTTCATACTGTCGAATTCTCTCTACACAATTCTATAATCTTACATTTACTTATATCAAAATACTGGGGAAAATAATTTAAATACCTCAAACTTTGAAATGGTGTGAGGTAAGCACCCCAAACTTACATATGTAATATATTTACCCCGAACTTTACATAAAAAGTTATGTTAGCACCATTACTATGTATTTTTTTATTCGAAAATGTAAACTTATGGTGTTAAGCACATGGTTTAAAATACTTAAACATTTATAGTGGTGTATTTAAAGCGTCATAAATTTACATTGTATAAGAAAAAAACATATGTTCATGGTACTAATATTACTTTTTATATAAAGTTCGGGATATAAATATTACATATGAAAGTTGGTGGTGCTTAGGGATATAAATATTACATAGGGAAATTATCATTGATCTCCTTTGAGGTTTGATGCATTATCAATCACACCCCTATACTATCAAAAATATAATCTTACCCCCCTCCCTATCCTTTAATGATGGTTAAATAACTCTTAATCTTTATTTAGAGAAAACTATATAGATGTAATTTCATAATTTTTCATTATGCCCGCTTTTAATACTGTAATTTTGTTCTATCACAAATCTGGTCGGGTAGTTAATAAAATTGTCCATACTAAAGACCTTTTTATCAGAAGTCGAACAAAATAAAAAAATGACCAAAATTGACCTCACTTTAGGTAGTTCGTTTTATGTCTTTATATTTGTAAAGTGAGTACTTACCCAATTCAAAATGATCACAATATGCTAAATTTGTCAAAAATTGAAACAAATAAACTTAAATGAACCAAACTGACTCAAAAGTGAAGTTTACTACTCGATTTTACCATTAAAAATTGAATGCAAGAAAATTCCCAATTTGCACTCTAGACACTCTTTGTTATCACTGGAAATGAGGTCATTATAGGTATAATAATAACTTGTAAATTAATATTTTACAAAATATAAACATGTTTACATGTAAAATACTGGTAAAGCAATTATAGTTTAGGACGGATTCAACACCCAAACTTGTTAGTGCTAAATAATTATGGCGGCCCATGACCTTATCTTCGGTTCCAATCTCCTAATTGGTCTAGGTTCACTCCCGATAATTCAAATATTTTAACTACCTATTTTTCAACTTTTAAATGGGCTATAACTCATTTTAAAATGTTCTCAGTGCTTTTAATGAAAAAATGAATGAGGTCAAAAATGGGCTCCAATCCCGGTCCCAAAAGTGAGCCCTGAGGCCTCTTTTTCACAGGTCTGATCTCGGTCCCGACCTAAATTCTTAATTTAAAAATCGGTCATTCCCGAGACCGGGCCTTGTCCTTCCCTAATATGAATCACACAAGTAGATATTTTCCATACGAATTTATAATAGGTAACAATAGTCTCCTAAAAGTCCTTCACCAACATCTGTTTTAGGTATAATATAACATTCTTCGTTATTATTGGGCATCTTTCCCTCGTTAGAAAAGTTTCACCAAAATGTGTACAATCTCATATATATTTTCGAACTTTTAAAAGTAATAGAAATTTATTGTTTTAAGTTCATACCTTTCGGTTGTGTCTGCTACTAGTCCTATAATTTTACTCCCATGTATATGTAGTTATCTACCTAATAAATTTTTCAATAATAAGGACTATTTCATTGGAAAGTACGCGTTTCTGCAAAAAAGTACTTTATGGTGGAAATATTCTTAATACATGTAAATTTATTAATTATCAGATAAAATCTGCAAGTGAGTAAACTTATAAAACTAAATTTATACGTTTGCTAAACGTAATTAATAGTTATTAAACTTTCATTAAAGAATAGGGAGGGGGTAAATGTATATATTTTTAATAGTGCAGGGGTCTAAGTAATAATACCTGAAACCTCGAGGGAGGTCAATGATAATTTCCGTATTACATATGAAAGTTTGGGGTGCTTAGATCACATCTCTTCAAATTTTGGAGTATTTAAATTCTTTTTCCCTAAAATATATTATATCTATTTCTATTAGTTATATACTTATATCTACTTACACACATACCCTTTTGGGACAAGGGGAATGAGCGAGAGGCTCTGGATTGTTTCTGCCCTATGGCGTCCAAACATATGTGATGGCCGACATCCAGGTCGGAGATACTGGGAGCGCGAAGGTTGGATTCCCAATAGACGTGATGGAGCTCAGCGAGGGGCGAGGAGTGACGGGCTCCGTTCTAGCAGATGAGCGACGGGCTTCGACTGGTAGTCTCAGGCGATGGACGAACGATGGCGAAGGGATCCAGTCCAGCAGGTGAGGGATGAAGGTGAGCGGTGGTGTTGGAGAGGA